AGGGGGGGGGGGGGGCACATGCACTTAAACCCTCCCCCTTTCCAGCCAGGCTGCTGCTCGGGTCAAGGATCTGGTAAGGTATTTTAGGGGGGACACCACACGCAATTGTTTTGGCATTGGGGTCCCCACTAAAATTCCTATGGGGAATGGATTGCAGGGGGGGGGGTCCCCCATGCTTTGTTTTCTGCTTCTGTGGACAGTCAAAACTGAACTTATAACTTAAAGAAAAATGTCCATTTTTATTTCTAATGTCCCTTTGCGGCATTGAAACCTAATTAATAAATATAATTGAACTCATCCGAAATTATTGAAAATGTCGGATGCGGACGAATCCGAATAACAAAAAGAATTGGCTTTCGGACCCAAATCCCGAAAAATGAAATAACGGAAAATCCAAAAAGAAACTAAATGAAACCAATTTTTTTTGCCAGCGCACATGTCTAGTATACAGTTAGGAATATTATGCCCTGTCTCTACTATAAGCAAGCAGTTCTGGATGTACAGTTAGTCAAAGCAGCATAAAGGAATGATTTGCATGGCTCCCTTTATGTCTGGGAATTTGTGATGAAATAAACACCTTCTGTTTAATAAGGTTCTGTGCTTCCCACTGGGTCAATGCGGGCTTTGTGGTTCCTTTTGGTCCACTCCACCATAACCTGTCGGGTTTTACTATCTGGGTAGTTAAAGGAAAAAACTTTCAATGGAAGGGGGGTGGGAGTTGTAACTTTACTCGGAAGCCAGTTTTTCCAGAAACCCTTCTCTTTTCATCCTTTCTTTTGGTCGACTGGGCCGTTTTACACACAATTTTTCCTAGATCATCCCCATGAGTGTTGGATACTGAGAGGGAAATTAATCAAAACTGGAGCAGACAAAATCTGGAGCAGTTGCCCAGGGCAACCAATCAGCATCTCTCATCAGTTTGTTCAGTTATGATTTGAAAATAAAATAGAGAAGATGATTGGTTGCCATGGGCAACTGCTCCAGATTTTGTCTGCTCCAGTTTTGATAAATTTCCCTCCATATGATTATGAATGGCAAGCAATCATCAAATGTCAAATTATTTGGCTTGTGAGTGTGTTTGTATGAATATAATGGTTGCATCTGCCCTGGTAGGTC